GGGACGTTTCCCTTCATTATAGAGGTGGATGAGTTAATAAAATTTGGTCCCGTGAAGAGATTTTTGGGGTGGATTCCTTTGCAGACCTTGAGAGAGGGTATATTTTCTCAATCTCGGGGTGAATTCCCTTGCAGACCTTGAGAGTGGGTATATTATCTCAACCTTTTATTTTTATATTTTTTTGGTTTTATTTTCTCAATTTACATCAATTGGTATCTGAGCTGTATTAGAGATTAAGCTAAAATTCGAGCTCGGGCTTTGGGGGCTTAGGCTAAGGCAAAGGAATTGAAAGCCCAAGCCGTTTCACAAAGAGAGGGTGGGCCTTTAGTCCTTTGAAGAGAGAAAGGGAGAGGATTGAGAGAGAGAGAGAGAGAGGAGAGAGAGGGAGGTCGAGTCAAGAGAGAGAGCGAGAGGGAGGACGCGTCGGGACCAAGACTTAGAGCGAGAGAGAGAGAGAGAGAGAGAGAGAGAGAGAGAGAGGGGGAAACTTTGATTAAAAACTTAGGTTAAATAAAGTATGGGAGGGTAAAGTAAAAGGGATGGTAGTTTAGGTTTTTTTTTAAATTGGGGGGATATTTACAAAAAAGTGTATTTTGGGGGGAATAAAAGTGAGAGAAAAAATACGGTTGGGGGTAAGTTGCATAGAAAGTGTGGTCTTGGGATTTTTTTGTAATTTTACCCAAAAAATAATGTCTCGAGATCGAATAGAGACCATCCAATTTTTAGATGCTAAGATCGAATTGTTAGAAAACTCAATTTTCAACTTTTTTTTTTTTAGAATGATCATCTGGTAATTTTTAAGTGGTTCCCAATATGAGAAAAAAATCTAGGTCTTGTAATCATTCTCGATAATTTCCAAAGATATTAGGGCATTTTTTAAAAAATGAATGAGATTTTGAAATTAAAATTGTGATCATTGGTAGGTTTTATATAATGGACAGTCGAAATTAGTCTTATCGTCATCTGAATCTTATCTCAACTATTTAAGATTGGCTACACGAATTATGTTTTATCATCCCATTCTATTTGTTGGGTGTGTGTGTGACAATTAAAGGCCTTTGAATGCTTTTAAATGAAATTATTTAGTGGAACATTAACTCATTGGGAGTATGGTCCTATATGGACCATACTAAGCAAATGATGTTTGCTGATACTGGACTGTGTTTGATGTGCTATGTCAGTTTGGTTGGGAAAAACTCATGTTACATCGGCATAGAGATACAAACTAATAAGGGTTAGATGGTGATGAAGTTGGAGTATACCTAGAAGAGTGGGCCGATGGATTGTGTGACCTTTGTGTATGATAGAGGCCTTCAGAAATTGAGCCAAAGCCTTATCATTTATACCATCACACGACAAGCACATTGATAACTGTTTTCAGAAAAGTGAACCACCTTTCAGGGTGAAGCATGTGTATGTGCCAGAAATACCCCATGTGCATCATCGAGCAATGGATTGTATCAGGTCAAGATGACCTAGGTTTTGTCTCTAGGGGGACCTAAAATCTTTATACTGGGACTGCGACCCCTTTCTTGTTGGCTAAACTTTGGTGACCCATTAATGATCCCCTACATGGACTATAGATCATGGGTAATATTGGGTCGGTTTGAGAAAGCATGTGTTGTCTGTAGGCCTCAGTTGAAGATTGATTGCCCCAGTGCATATTTATTCCTAAACTATATGGATCATTTTCCCATGAAAGTATTTAATTTTGTCCATTTTAATAATATATGATTTTTAAAATTCTTAGTTGAAATTTTAAATCTCTGGATCTTTTATTTATCAAATTTGGAGTTATAAAAACAAATATATTGATTTTATATTAATTTAAATAGTCAAATATGGTTTTATGAATTTCTAAAAAAAAAATATTATTTTAAAATTGCATAGGAGACTCAATAGGACTTGTGGGCCACACTAGAAAATTAGGTGGGGCTCATTATGTGTCACAATGGGTGGCACGCCCTACCTAGGGAACTTACTATTTTAAAGTGCACAAGCACTTCTCTTGTGGGATAAGAAAGATGTGTATTCGAAAACTTGAGCTTTGTAGACATTTTGAATCAAAATATTATTATGTGTGAGAATGTTTGAGCATAAAATAAGATATAATAATATTATCATATATTAATAAATAAGAAATGACGGGAAAATAATTTAGAAAGTAGGGGATAATGGTGCTATCACCCTCTATAAGATGTTGATGACCCATCTATAGAATAAACAACTCATATCTCTCATCTCACAAGTTACCCAAGATCAATTGTGCATATTCAATTTCACATAAGTGGCAAGCCAAGAAAAACCCTAAGAAACCCTAATTTTGTTCAAGCACTATACAAAGGGGTTGTACCCTACCCAAATCTCTACACCATACACTTTCCATCTCTCTCTTATCCATCTAAGGGGCACACTCCACTCTAGCCAATTTATCTCTCTCCTATCTAATAAAGTTTCTCTCTCCCTCAAGATAGCCAAAAGGGGCACCCTACTCTCTCGTATTTGATATCTCTCTCATGGTGGTTGTCTCATCTCATCATCTCTCATCTCACATTGGAACTAAGTCTATAGGGTGTGGTAAAAAGAGAAGCATATCTCTCAAGCTAGGTTATCAACGTGGATTCATCTAGCTATTGAGTTTGTGATCAAAGGGGTTCATGTTCCATTGATACGGCTTATCCAAAACTTGCTTTCCCAGTTGAGATTGAAAGTTGACCATTCGATAATGCATCATCGAAAGGTGGTGACTGGTGAGGTGTAAGAAGCCCGATTGAGGTAAATCCGACACTCTCTTTAGTTTATTGCTTATTTGTTTATTGCTTTATTTATTTCCAAGTATAGGTTGTGTTATTTCTTTGTTGTTGAAATAAATATTTTGAATGGCTTCAAGTTCTTGAGATCCTAATTGTATATGACTACTTGTGAGTGATCTAGCAGCGAAAAAAAGAAAAAGAATTAACAAAGGAAACAAATTTAATTATATACTCCGGCTAGATCACATGAGTCATTATGTCGCTATTAAGGGTCATACTCTTAGTCAGATTACAAGTAACCATATATTTTCTCACTAATTTTATCCATGTCTTTTTAGGCCTTCCTATTGTGCTTGTAGGGCCTTCCACTTGAACTAAATGATCCCTCATAATACCCCTCCTCACAATGGAAATCATATAAAAAAAGGAAAAAAAATAGATGAGTTCAATCCTTGATGCATGGTTTTCCCTAAGCCACAATTGACACGCCTCTCTACCTTCTTTCGCCATCTCCCAAAGCCTCGAATTCGTGGTGAAAATCAAAATCGGGAAAAGAGGCCTTGATGCTCTTGGCGATAAGTTTAAAACTGAAAGAAGGGGTTTTAAAAAGAGAGAACGGGAGAGAAATTCTAAAAAAAAAACAAAAAGGAAGAAAAAGACGGATAGTGCAAATGACAGCTCTTGATAGTAAAGAGAGAAAGAAAAGAAGAAAGAGAAAGAAGGGAAATCAAAGTAGAAAAGAAAATTTTGTGTCATAATGTGTGGCGCAAACGGTTGACATTCTTTGCCACATAACTCGGAACAGGTGGTAACTAGCCCCAAAATTTTCCAAAAACTCCCCTAGGTGATCCAGATCATTGTTGGGCACACCTGGAACATAAAATATAGGACAACAGAAGATTCTTCACCATTTAATTGGAAACTAGGGAAACTTCACTTTCCGCTCTAAAAGATGAAGATTATTACAAACTTCAAACAATCTAAAATCAGGAAAATGATCATAAGATCATACACTAGGAAATGAAAAGACAAACTATCCCTTTGACTTTAGATCAACACTCTTCGTTTTATGAGCCGCCACCCACTCCATGAGATGAACTATTTGAGCCTCGGCCTCTTCTGTAGTGATCTCAATAGGAACCGTCACCACCTTGAGTTTCTTAAATGTTGTAATTAAAGAAGAAGGATCCTCATTCACAATGCGCCCGTTAGAGTGGGTTGTGTTTGACGACGACTCCCCCTTTTCAAGGATACAATGTCGATAAAGACGAAGCGGACAAGACCGTCTCTACCATGCATGATGATCCGAAGAATGGGTAGTTTTTTCATACTAATGATCTTCATGTTAGAGATTAAATGTCTTTAAAAATTAAGGTGTGGTTTTTATAAGGTTACAACTTTAAATAATCCAATTAAGACACATCTCCAAATTTTATTATAACATGTAATTTTGGTGTAAAAAATTCTTAGGATTATTTAAAAGTCTATTTTCATATCTAATTATAAAAATTTTTAAATCTAAAAACAATTTAAGTCAAGTAGATCTATAAATATATAAAAACCTTGAAAATTGACGGTCTAGATAATGTGTTGGAAGATGCACTATTATGGGGCTCAAATCATTTTTCTTTTTTCATATTCGTACATCTCGATGACGAAATGATCAACATTGAAACAATATTATCCGATGGATTTTTGAAGTGCATTGTAATTCTACATTTTAAGGTGGCAACCTCATATAGATTTTTTCCTAAAAATTAAGTCCTAACATCATTTTTAAAAATAAATTTATTAAGAGTCCCGCATTTCTACATGTGCAGACTTGGCGCATGGACACGGGGTCCATTCCGGCTAACAAATAATCTTCACACGAAAGTTAATTGAATTTCGGCTCAAATTTCGTCGCCCACCTAACCCGCAGTAGACCGATGAACGCGGCATCGACGCTCCAATCGCAAAGCCAAATACTCTCCGTGATCCAACGGAACAGAGAAACGCACGAGCATTATTCGACGGTTAAGATCCACAACAACCTTTGGCAGAAACAACTCTCGACCGTCCATAGGAGAAGCTCGAAACTTTATCCGTTCGATCGGAAGGAAAAAGCACATCTACAACAAGACACAAAATCAAAAGATCGTGACACGTCATCGATCCGCGCGTTACCCGTCTTCACCAATCAGCAAAGAGTACACGGATAATGTGTTTTCTCAAACGCACGAGAGCCGTCGATGTGGTCGTTGCCCAAATCTCCCTAACGACGCCTATAAGTAACCCCCAAACCCTAAATTTCGAATTTTCAGATCGCGTGTTTGTGTTAGTTTTTGGGTGCCGTATTCTTTCCCTTCTTTCGGGTATGGTTTCCCCCTGATATCTTTCTTCTAATTTTCTCATTTTTTTTCCTTTTTTTTGTTATTTGTTTTATTTTAGATTTTTCATTAATGCTAGCTTTTATGGTTCTTATGGATCTGTGATCCTGTGTAATTTTCTTAAATTTTCCGTTTAAATTGTAGAGATTTTGTTGATTGAGGTTTGTGAAACCGAGTAATGGCTCGTACGAAGCAGACAGCCCGTAAATCAACGGGAGGAAAGGCTCCAAGGAAGCAGCTTGCAACCAAGGTATTTCTCTCCTAATTTGTTGTGACATATACTAAGCATTTGGGTTCTGGGCTTTCCAAGATTAATTATCGTTCCTGGGGTTCAGTCACAGGGAGGTTCTTGGCTAGAAGTAATTAGATATTATGATTTTGGAAACCTTATTCTAAATCACAGGGGTGAGTTTCATATTCAGCAGTAGACAATCGTTCGCTTTGTTGTCCACGAATTGTCATTTTTGTTTTCTAATATATTCGTCAATTATTTGAATATTTTTGTTTTCGGATCCATTTTTGGGTTTTATTGTTTATTTTGAAGTTTCCTCGTTAGGGGTTTGTTGGTTGTGATTTCTCTTTTAGATGTTTTAATGTTTGTGGAAGAGTACTCATTGAAGTTTCTCTCTTGATGCATGGTGAAAATTCTTTACACCTTCTGAGGCGTTCAATATTGAATAGAGTTTATATCTGAGCTTTGTTGTTGATATATTTTGTTCTACAGGCTGCAAGAAAGTCCGCTCCAACAACAGGTGGTGTCAAGAAGCCTCACCGTTATCGCCCTGGGACTGTTGCTCTTAGGTATTATATTTACGACCGGTTTTATAGTGGATTTTTTAAACTAATTGAGTTTCTTTTAAATTTATGAATTTGTTTGCTCATATTATCTTTATCGTCATTATTCTCAACTTGTCTATCAGTGAATCTGATCTCTGATTTTGTTTTGGTGTTATTTTATCAATGTCGTCTTGTTATTTATTCTGTGACATGATATGTTGGCCCTGGCTCTTACAGGGAAATTCGAAAGTATCAGAAGAGCACTGAACTCCTTATCCGTAAACTCCCTTTCCAGCGGCTTGTTCGTGAGATAGCCCAAGACTTCAAGGTACTGAAGTTTGTACACGGTCTTGGCTAATGTAGTTTACTATGGCTATTATTATTATTTTGGGGGGTACAATTTTGATAAGAAATTTGTTCAATTTTGAGGGGAAATTTGTTGTTAACATGATCTGATGGGGAACTGGTGGAATGTGCAGACTGATCTTCGTTTCCAGAGTCATGCGGTTCTTGCTCTCCAAGAAGCTGCTGAGGCTTATCTGGTTGGGCTCTTTGAGGATACTAACCTTTGCGCCATTCATGCCAAGAGAGTAACCATCATGCCCAAGGATATCCAGCTTGCTAGGCGTATTCGTGGGGAGCGGGCTTAGGTTCTCTCCTCTCTAATTTGACTCCTCACCCTTCAGTTTTTATTTTTAATTTTGGATATGGAAGGAACTTTAGGCAATGGACCTTTTGGGGGTTAAAGTTAGATTGGATTGAAAGGTGTATATATAGATAGGCCCTTCTCTTGGTGTTTTTGTAATTGATGGTCATGCCTTCGAACCACAAACTCTGTGGGGAAAGAACTTGTATCTGGTAGTTGCTTTCTCTTTTTGATTTAGACTGAACGCACCTGTATGCGGTAAATCTTTCTTATTTGGATTTTGTGATGTTATACTTTTTCAATCTCTTATAGTTTATTGGTTTATTTGGATGTATTTCTTATTCATAAGTTTATTTCTGATGGTTGATATGGTGTGTGGTGTTCTCAAATGTATTAGTTTATTGTTGTTATAAAATTGAAGTTAACAAAGTTGTCGGAGGCCTATACTTTTAAGCTGCAAAGTTGTCGAGGACAGTACTTTGTCAACGTTAAAATTTTAAAAGAATTGCAAAGGAAAGGAATTGTGAACAGGTTTACGCGAGATTGGTTTGAAGGATGAAAAAAATTGCAGGAACAGTTTTGAGTAGATGGGTTTAAAACAGCATTTTAAAAAACGCCGAGTCGAACCAGATCGCCCGGTCCGAGTCGGCCCGACTCGGAAACAGTGAAAACGGAATTGGATCGCCCAAAAATTGGAAATGGTCCTGTTTTAGAGAGAACCGGAGGATTTTGTACAGTGAATCGCCGATTCGCTGTACGGAAATCGGCTAGTCTAAACAGTGAATTGGCGATTCTGTACGGATTTTTTTTTTTTTTTTGTGTGGTAATCCGTGGTAGATTTTTTTGTAATCCATGATCGAATTATTTGGTTTTTTTGTAGCCCATAGTAGAATTTTTTATAATCCATGATCGAAATCTTTGTTTTCATTTTTTTTAATCCATGAGCGACTCTTTTGTTTTTTTTTTTTTGTAACCCATGATAGAATTTTTTGTAATTCATGATCGAATGTTTTGGAATATATGATTGAAATGTTTGTTTTGTTTTTGTAATCCATGATCGAAATGTTTGTTTGTTTTTTTTTAATCCATGATTGAATTTTTTGTTTTTTGCTTTTTTTGTTACCCATGATAGAGTTTTTTATAATCCATGATTGAATTTTTTGTAAACCATGATCGAATTATTTTTTTCTTTTTTTGTAATCTACAATTGAAATTTTTTGTTTTTTTTAATTGATGATCGAATTTTATATAATCCATGATCGAATCTTATGTAATTCATGATCGAATTTTATGTAATACATGATCGAATTTTTTCAAAATTTGTGATTTTTTTTGTTCAATTCATGATCGAATTTTTTTTTGTAATCCATGATAGAATTTTTTGAAAATTTGTGATTTTTTTTTTAATCCATGATCGATTTTTTTGAAAATTTGTTTTTTTTTTTAATTCATATTATTCAAAAAAAAAAACGAGAGAGATGATGATTTTGAGGCCAATTTATTCCAGCCTTGTTATTCACATATCGAATCCCAACAGCAACAGTGTAGGGATGAGCACGAAATACTGTAGATTAAATGTTGAATGGGGGTTCATGCAAGGAAAGAATATATTAATATTCGCATATTCATTAAAAAACATGAAAATTCTTAATGGAGTATTTTTATTTTTTATTGAATTCTTAAAAATCATTATTTATAATGAATTTTAATAATTTTTTCGGATTTTTTTGAAATTTTATTCTGATCGATTCATTTGATTTTGATCCGGATTGTCGATTCGATCGTGAATTCGCCGATCCGGATCGGTTTTTGAATAGTCCGATTCGGGTCACCGATCTGGTTTTTAAACCATTGGTTTAAAATGTTACGAAAAATTGAAATGGTTTAATTATATTTACTCTAAGTCAGTCGTTAAGATGGGATGGTAAAAAATTGTGGACGGCTTTACAGGGATATAAGAAGTTTGACGAAAGAAAATTGTGGGGTGGAAAGCGAGTGGGCTGATTTGAAATTGAAGTTGTTTTTAGTTAATATTAAATTAGACTCGATGAATGGAAAATAGGAGAATCGCAAAGAGTTGTGAACGGGTTTGAAGAAAAAATAAAGCGGAGAATGGGTTTGGAGGTGTTGTTTAAAGTTCAACCAAATTACTAGTGGTTTGGAAGTTTTTAATTGAGAACCTGTGTTGAGATAACGACTCCTGCATATTTGTAATTGTCAAAATGCAAAGTCCAACAGTTTATGTATGTGGAAAACGGCACATCTATAAATGGGAGGTGCTTGTCGTAATACTACTTATTCATATGTAAAGGATTTGTGTCCTTCATCACTTGTCCAAAAGTTGGAAACTTTGTCTGTGCTTCATTTGTTGACCTAATATGCAGTGTTTTTCCATGAAGACTTGTGATGCTGTTCTTCTTATTGTGTAAACGGTCTATATCTGCTTTTGAGAAATCAGATGTCGATACTTTGTATGAAAGAAGCTCTTTAGGGTTTGGTAGCTTTTTTTTGGTAAAACTTTGAAGGGATTTGGTAGGCTTGAATTTGGGCGAGTTCCTGGTAGATAAATTATCATGAAAACAATGTCTAAAGACTCAATATTTCCACTTCAGGAATACTTTCGGGGATGAAACAAGTAAATCCATATGAAACGAAGTTCAGGTTTCTATATGGTTGGTAAGATCGGTGGTGAGATTGGTGAAAGAGAGGCATTTGGGGACGCATGGGGAAGAGTGAAAATGGGGAAAACTGCAGAGCGAGATTTGGGGAAGTATAGGGAGAGACTAATGGGAAAAATGGAGAGAGGGATTTTGGGAAGTACAGAGAGTCAAGGAGAAAAAAAAGACAATTACTTGGAGACAGAAAGAGTGCTTTTTTAATTTTATTTGGACCAAAAAGATAGGGTAAGTTTTTTATGTTTTTTCTATAGCATAAAACTTATATATTTGCTCTTTTTATCCAACCATTCATTTTGAATGGACGGTTAAGATTGTCCCAATTACAATGTTATGTTTTTTATATTATTTTATTTTTATTTTTTTTTCTATGAACTTATTTTGAAACCAAAATTTGGATTTAAAAATATATAAAAAAAGTTTTAATAAAATAAAATGGTCAAAATACTCCAAAAAGATTATTATATTTTATCAAAAAATTATTTTTAATATTTTATAGGTACACCTCGGTATGAAAATGGCACGTACAAAGTTTCATATTCTTACAATTTGTATAAAAAAAATTAAAAAAATAGTACTTTGAGACGTTGGATCTAAGCTCAAACGGTACGTGACTCTCTTGATCAACATTGGACGATTGGATTGTAGATGAAGCATAGTTCTTTTATGTTGTATGGGAAGTATAAAGTTAATCGACGGTGTTACACGATATAGTCGATAGATTTTTTATGCCATCAAATAAGTTTTGAAAACTTGAGTTGTTTACGAATAAATGAAACCTAAAATTAATATCTACATATATATTTTCCTGTAAACTTTATTTTATTTAAGGGGGCAATTTTTGTATGGTGGCAATATTATAGCTACGATTTTATTTGTTGACTAAAGGCTGTGATGCTTTATGTGGATAATCGTTTAATATTTTGTCAATAGGTATTTTAAGAAACTTGATGGTATAGATAATTGTAATTTTTTGCTGTAACCTTATAAAAAGGTTTTCTTTATTAGTAAGGTTGTAACTTTATTACAGAAATGTTTTATTTAACTAAATTTCGCCAGTATAGTTGCCTCTTGGTGGGGTTTTCCCTTGGGTGGATTAGGTGGTGTCAGTGCCGTGCTGGGTAGATTCAGGTTTTGTCTAGGCTTATGTGAATCGTTTGGGTGGACATTTAAAGGGTTTGGTAGAGATGTCTATTCTATTTGTATTTTTTATTTTTCAATTGACAATTGGTTATTTATTCTTGTGGCAATTTGTTGGATTAGAAAGTAAAATCTGTGCAGTTGAGACTTGAGACTTCAGAGTCTAGAAATCGAGGGTTCCTTCCATTTGGATTTTGAAAGTCCTTGATACTCCCTTTTTTTGCACCAAATTGATACAATTCCGTTGAAAAACTATGTTCCCAATAATTTAATCTACGGGGTCTTATTTTTTTTTTTTGAATGTTAGGAGTGGCAATAAAATTATTTTTTCTTCATTTGCTTCTCGTGTGTTTTATTGTAATTTTTTCATTTAATATCTATCTGAATGCTCAATTAAATGTGTTTTTATACGTTTATTAGCAAATAATTGTCATGGCTTTGTGAGCTGAAATTTTGTGTTGTCATAGGTTAGAACATATGATGATCTCGCTTCATAGAGGTTTGATTTTTATTGATCATTGATGTGGTTTAAAATTTTAGATTTTATACAATGAGACTATTTACTTTTGGTATAGAGTGGTCATAATTACTTACAACCATTTGATGTGAAATCGAATAGCTTGGGTGTGCCAAAAAATTCGAGAGTTGTTTTTTTTGAGCATTGAGTTTAGTCAATGAAATAAATAGTGCTACCCAATTTCACATCCAATAGTCAAGATTATTTGTGACCACCATGTAACAAAGGTAAATGGTCTCATTATGCATTTTCTCTTAAAATTTTATTCATGTCTTTACAAATCTAAGTGTGGTTTTCAATTTCTTGAAGGTGTTTATTATTTGGTCCATTAGATTTTCTATTTGTAACCTTTTGTCACGGGTTTTTGTTGCAAAATTGATATGTTTGGTTCGTGTGAAAATATTTTTCGGAAATTTTTTTTTTGTGAAAGAATTCTCTCCCGTGGTTTGGTGTGATAATATTGTTAAACGAATTGATCCTAGTATATATGTCATTCCAATTGACAATTAGTTGATATGAAAATATTCCCACACTTATCCACATAAATGAATTTTTTAACCTGAATATATTTCCCTGAAAATATTTTTACACGAACCAAACGTTTAGTCTTTTCATCTAGTGAAAGTTCATAATCCATATGCACCTAAAAATGTTTAGTGATTGCCCAATCATTCCCAACTATCCAATTAGTTTTCATCTGGCTAATATGACACATTTGAATTCGAGTAAGATGGTGGGTGAAAAAGATCCCTCACAATTTATCCATGGGAAAATTTTTTATGGAGCCTACGCTCTAAAAAATCCAATTAGAGCTTCCCTAAAAATTTTTATTAGAAGTTGTTTTGATACCTAAATATCGACAGCAAGATACATAGGCATGAGAAAAAAAATGGATTTTAATTATTGAAAATGGTGCATCTTGTGACGTATTTTTGAATCGTCAATTTGATTTTCATGTTTTCATAGATATGATTGATCTACACTATTTTTGAAGCTTTAAATTTTAAGATC